CCATCATCTTCATTGCTGCCTTGATGAGTGTTGTCTTGGCAGCTGAGAAGAAGGAATCCCCCAAGGCTGCTGCCCCCAAGGCTGCTGCCCCTGCCCCGGCAAGCGGCGCCACCGCCACCACCTTTTCGGTTGTTGGGTCTTTGGCTGGTGCCTTAATTTTTGCTTTCTTTGGCTATTACCTTCAGTAATGGTTCAGATCAGAGAATAAGTCATTCTTGTAAGGGAAATTAGGAAAATGAGATTCATGAGATCGTGATGGATTAATTTCGAAGAGAAGAAAGGATCACGTTTATTTCATGTATTTTGACTGGCTATGCTAGTTTCGTTAATTGAATATTGCCTCTATTCTTCTAATTGAATTGCCTTGAAAACAAAAGTGATTATTGTCCAAAAATAAATTCTAATTTGGATCAAGTGGTATCAAAGCATCAGGTGATTTATGGTCTTAACTCGTGGCCCAAAAACTTGTAGGTCCTTGGCCTTTGGATACGTTTGAATTGAAAATAAAAATAAAAATTGAGGATCAAGTCTTGAGATCCTGGAGAATTTATCAAAAATAGCCAAAACTTGACTCCTAATTTCAAAAATGTCAGTTTTTGTAAAATATTTCAAATATAACAAAAAAAACTCATCTAAATAGACACAAATGCCCTCAAATTTAAAATCCACATAAACCTACAAAAGAAAACCCTATTAGATTGGGAATCTTTATACATATGTTTGCATACGTATTTCTGCCTTAGTCAAATGGTGAGTGCAGTTTTTCCTTGATTCTTCGTTCAATTTCTTCTTCGTTTAATCTTCATACTAAATTATATTACATATAGGGCATCCAAAAACCATTGAAAAACAACATTTTTTTTGTTGGTGAATTAAACAGAAATTGTATACTGTGAATCTGAATTGTGAAGCATAAGAAACATAAGCCAGACTTTTTTCATTCACATCAAGATAAAAGTTTCCTCTGTCTGCAGATTATTGCACTTTAAACTTTCTTGCCTAACTTCTAACTTCCCTTTTAAATTTAATTTGCGTTCTAGAACTTATCATGGGATTCCTATTTTATTAATCTGCTTTAGTTTTGTTTGGTGGTTAAAAAATAATGCAAGATACTTGATAATATTGTTGTTTTTTTACTTGCTTCACCATTCGTTTTTACTTTAGCATTCTAATATCTTTGTAATTCCAAATTTATCCAAATTTTTTATATGGTGTGGAAAGCTAGATTTTGTATGCTGCATATTATTAAGTTATTAGCTATTTTACTAATGTTGTGTTGGATAATGCCAGGATTGTATGTGTAGGGGGCCGAACCGTAATACAAGTATAGGAACATAAAAAATCAATCTTGCATCAATAATATATATATATATATATATGAAAAAATGGACAACTTTTTTAGAACTTTGTACCCAATTTCATGTATCAAAACGGAAAAGTCTACTGATAAAATCTCATTTTCTTTTAAATATTTATTTTCTATTCCTTTTTTTTTTTTGGTCAAACTATTTTCTATTCCCTTGGCTCATCGGTTTGATTATTAGAGGATTAATACTTCCTTTTTTTTTTTTTTTTTATGATGTCAGTTGTGTAATGGGCCACAAACATTTTATATATAATTATAAATGAAGTTATTATGGATTGCAATTGGGGGGCCATTAGAATGATTATATGGTTTGCATTGTTAAATATATGAACAAAACCCAGGCTTTACTGTGTTAAGAACAAATTGTGGAGGGACCAGGGCCACCTTAGGCCCTAGAGTACCTCTGCCCCTAGTTGGATTGATACTTTTAGTTTACTTAGGTTACTTTTGATGCGAGTGTGTTCTCTTGTACACATTGTCCATAATCTATTGCATCACCCTTTGAAAACAAATTTATTCATTTATCAATAAATAGGATGATATAAATCAATTTATGTTCTTCTATACAAACATGGGTTAAAAATATTTCAAAGTTTTATTTAATAAAGTTTCTTTTTCAGGTTTATGTGGGTTTTAAATTTGATGGTATTTGTGTCTATTTAGGTGAGTTTTTGGCTATATTTGAAATGTTTTACAAAAACTGACATTTTTAAAATTAGGGGTCAAGTTTTGGCTATTTTTTATAAATTCTCAAGATCCTGGGGGCTCTACCTCATAGAGAAGTGTTCTGATCGAGGATTCGGATCCTCTGTTTTGATTTTCTCTATCATAATTTGCTTAACTTTTGCTCTCCATATGCCACCTCATTAAATTTAATCCAAGGGTGTTGAGAGTTGACACATCACAATATTTTATTTTTAAAAAATAATTTGCGTAAAACATAAAATAAAAACTAAAACCCTATAAACTTTCTGCAGCGCCTCTCCTCTCTTCTTCTTCATCGTTTCTCTTCTTTTTTTTTCTTCTAATTTTTCTTTTCAGTGTCTTCTAATTACGCCCAATAACTTATTCTACCCCTTTGATCATATAATCTTTTTTTTTTCATATACTGATTCTGATATGGGATGAAAAGAAACTGTGAGGTGCTGTTTACATACTGAGAGACTTGGTTTCCTTCCCCTTACTGACCAAAAAAACAAGAAGATTTTGCAGAAAAGGGAGATGATTCTTGTGGAGTCCTGAAAAGAAATTTTTTTTTTTTTTTTTATTTATAAAAAGGGAAGTTGCAGGCTCGTTCAATAAGGTCTACTTTGTTTGCTGCAAGTAATTTCCTATTTATATTGTAATCCTTGTACGACAAGGATTGTTTTTTAGGCTTATAAGAGTTCTGGGATTACATCAAATCCTATTTAGACAGCAACTATTTGAAAATCAAATTTCAACACCATCAAACAAAGTCTGAAAGCCACAACCCTTCAGCTTAGTGGCTCATCTCATCTTCTCTGCAATCGGGTAAGTTTTCGTCAGGCTTCTTATTGGTTTGATTTATAGCTTCATGTGTGTATGTAATTCGATTTCGTTTACATGAAGTTTGTCATTTGGCCTGAAACATTAAGTGATTTCAGACATCCGTTGATCCATGTTGCCTCTTCCAAAATCTTTCCTTTCCAACACACGAATGATCTAGAAATTCCCAATCAATGGTTGAACGCTTTTTGAAATCAACCCTAAAAACTATGCCATCCTATTTTGTCTCAGATATTATCCATTGGGATAATTTCAGAACACCTTGTGTTTTGCTCTGTATCCCTGACATAGCCATGGTCTTTTGTATTGGACTTTTGAACGCGAAAAAAGAAAACATTGAATTGCCTTCAATGGTAGGTTGGTAGTTGTGTTAAACTATTGCGTTTCTCTCTTCTTTTTTTCTTTTTTTCTTTTTTTGTATGAAATAGGAAGTAAAATAACTAAAAGTGATTTTGAGGCCCACCAATATACTAATAAAAAATAAAAACAGTCAATTAAATAAAGTTTTAAAAAATCTCCTTTATTAAATAGGAAGTAGACTTTTACCCAAATAAAAAAGGATTGTGATTTTAATTTTTATTCATATATAAAGCAACATAAACTTAGTTTGAAGCAGTCGCACACATCAAAAGAAAAAAAAAATTGAATTTGGTTGTTTGCTCTCCAAGCTCCTGCTTCAAATTTTTTAATTCCAGGTTAGATAACTTTACATAGTCATAGTTTTCTTCCTTTGTTTATTTATTTTTTATGAGAATATATTTGTGTATGTTTATATGAGTGAAATTTTTTTTTGCATAGAATATGAGAATATAGTTATATGTTTTACGCATAGAATATGAATTTTTTTGGGTGGTATAATTTATGAATCATGTCCTTCATAAAATTTGTAATTGGTTTGTAGATGAAGAAACAACCTAGAATTGATGGATTTAAAAAAAAAAAAAAAACATACTGAAATATCTGAAGTTATCTCATATGTACCTAATTCTAATATTGAGACAGGAGCATCTGAAAATCGTTTTGATTATGTACATCAAAAGGGAAATTGCAGAAAATTTTGATATCTAATTAAATAAACAATTGTTTTCTGTCTTTTATTTTTTCAAACATTGTTAAGGTTGAAAAATTGAAATTTTTTAAGGCAAAAAAGTCGTTTTTAGTCCATATCGTTTCAATTTGATCAATTTTGCCCCTATAGTTTTCAATTTAAGCAATTCAAGGACACTGTCAAAATAGATTAACTGCAGTTAGTTGTTGAGGGGCATTTTGATCCAAAAATTACAATTTCTCTATTGTTTAAATTAATTGAAAAAAAATTAAAATCAAATAAACACAAGAATCAAATAATAAATAACTTGTAACCAAATAAATAAATAAAAACAAACAAACCCAGAAAATGGGAGGGGAGAAGAAAAAGGCGGGGGAGGATGGTTTGGATCTGTGATGGGGGAGGAGGGGTGGGTCTGTGGGTTCTGGGTTCGTTTGGGGGTTGGAGGGAGAAAACATCCGCGCGCAGGAATCTTCCTTATTTTTTGGGTTACTTTTTTTTTAAAATAAAATGTGTGTGTTTTTTTTTTGGGGGTTTTAGTTAATTTTTTGGTTACTTTTGTTTTTGGACCGAAATGTTCCCCAATAACTAAGAGCAATTACTCTATTTTGACAGAAATTAGAATTTGTCATTGAATAGCTTAAATTGAAAACTAAAGGGACAAAATTAATCAAATTGAAACGATAAGGATCCCTACAAATACCAAAAATAACTTTTTGTCATTTTTTAATGTCTTGTTTGTATATATGTTTGTTTGTTTCTTACGTTTTTATGCATAGAATATGAAACGTAGGATTTGGTTATATATTTTTTTTTTTTTTATGTTTTTGTGTATAGAATATGAATTTTTTTTTTTTTTTTTTTTGGGTCTGAATGTATAGAATATGAATTTTTTTTTTTTTTTTTTTTTTTGGGTCTGAATGTATAGAATATGAATTTTTTATTGATTAAAATACGAGTTTATGAATTTGTTATTAATATGCAAATAATGTGAGATCAAGTTAAAAGTTTGCGCTATATTTAGGTGCCTCTGTCATCTGTCAATCTGCAAGTAGCAAGATGACTACCTCAGTTGAAAGAGCGCAATATTCCGATAGAGTCCCCATCCGATCCATCATTTTGAGGCCTGATGGAGGGTCTGGGTTAGCAGGGCAGCAGGCCCGGGTTGGTGGGTGGGTGAAAACTGGCCGGAAGGCAGACAAGGATGCATTTGCATTCCTAGAGCTGAATGATGGGTCATGCGCTAGCAACCTTCAGGTCATTGTGGAAGCAGACAAGGGTGACCTTGGGCAGCTTGTGCTGACTGGTACATGCTTGCTAGTGGATGGGGTGCTTAAGCTACCTCCAGATGGGAAAAAGCAGAAGGTGGAGCTTCAAGTCCAGAAGGTGATCCATGTGGGTGTGGTTGACGCGTCGAAGTACCCATTGCCGAAGACCAGGCTCCCCCTTGAGCTTCTGAGGGACTATGTCCATTTGCGTGCCAGAACCAACACAGTAAGTAACCCTGTTTGCATTGTAGGACTTGTTGTGCTTTTGATAACTAGTGTTTGATTGTCGTGTATTTGCTTTCAGATGGGCGCGGTTGCTAGAATCAGAGATGAACTGTCATATGCAACCAAGAGATTTTTCCACGAGCATGGATTCCGCTACGTGAACACTCCAAATATCACCACCAGTGATTGTGAGGGTGCTGGTGAGATGTTTCAAGTCACTACCTTGATTAGTGAAGCTGAAAAATTGGAAAAGAATCTGATTAAGAACCCTCCTCCATCAGAAGTAGACATAGAATCTGCCAACCTTATTATAAAGCAGAGAGGAAATGATGTTGCTCAACTCAAATCTGCTAAAGCAAGTAAGCAGGAAATTGGCGCTGCTGTGGCTGAGCTTCAAAAGGCAAAGGAGAATGTCTTGAAGATGGAGGAGAGATCTAAGCTTCAACCCGGTATCCCTCAAAAGGATGGGAAGATTGATTATAGCCAAGATTTCTTTGCCCGTCAAGCCTTTTTGACTGTTTCTGGCCAACTACAACTCGAATCTTACGCATGCGCTCTTAGTACCGTCTATACATTTGGGCCAACTTTTCGAGCTGAGAAGTCACATACTTCAAGGCATTTGGCGGAATTCTGGATGGTGGAGCCAGAAATGGCATTTGCAGAGCTTGAGGTACGTGAAGCTTAAATTTAGTGTAGTTCTTTCAATGTACGTTTATGATTTTAATGTTTAGTTTGTGCATATGCAGCATGATATGGATTGTGCAGAGGATTATGTGAAATTTATGTGTCAGTGGTTACTTGACCATTGTATGGAAGATATGGAATTTTTTGCTGACAAGATTGATAAAAGTTGCCTTGACCGTATAACAATGTCTGCTAAAACACCATTTGCACGGATTACTTATACAGAAGCAGTGGAGCTGCTAACTGAGGCTGTGAAAAATGGTAAAAAGTTTGAGAACCATGTAGAGTGGGGGATTGATTTGGCATCTGAGCATGAAAGGTAGTTTCATAGCTTTATTCCGTTGTTCGTATTGTTACAGTTTCTGATTAAATCAGCTTACCAATTTATCGCTTTGGTTTCGTGCAGATACTTGACTGAGATTAAGTTTCAGAAGCCTATTATTGTTTACAATTACCCTAAAGAGATCAAAGCATTCTACATGAGGCTCAATGATGACTCAAAGACAGTGGCTGCTATGGATGTCCTGGTACCAAAGGTGGGCATTATACTCCGAACATTAAATTTATATCATTGAGTTCATTGCTCTGTTGTATATACTTGAGCATTGTGTGAAATTTGTGTGCTGTTTATGTTTTTCTTATATTTCAGGTGGGTGAGTTGATAGGGGGAAGCCAAAGGGACGAGCGTAATGATGTTATGCTGAGCAG